GGGGAAATCAGAACTCATTACACTGAAAGGAGACATGCCAAACAAATGCTCATGAGAATTTGACTGTAGTTTAGCTAAATAGAACACCAAATCGCATAACAAAGCCAAGAATACTATCAAAAACATTCCTCTCAAACCCAAGCACCCATATATTAGCAAACCCACCGCAAAACTGTGCGCCACTTTAGCCTCCCAAACTTCACAGGAGCATAAATGATCCAAAGCATTTAATAGGAAAACCCATTAACTCCCTACCAAACTACAAAGCCTCTGACATAGGTAAGTCAGTGCACCTAACAACCCAAAAACAAGTTATCCACAAGTCTCCCCAAAACAGGAAAGAAAAGGCACACATGAAGAGATGATAATTTGTTTGGCCTCCAGGCAGATTTTCAACAGTACTGAGTTTCTCAAACAAAAAACCCACACAATTTCAGCCAGCTCAGAGCCTTAGCCTTCCAAAGAATAATAGTAAGAGGTAAAGATGGTGAACTTAGAATTTTATGTAAATAATTATACTATAGAATCAAGAATGCCCCACTATTTAGTCAGCTCTCCAAACTCCCAATCATAAAGGGCTATTTAAAACGAAGGTTCCAACAAGACTTAAAACCGTTCCTCCCCAAAAAATGTTATTAAGTTTGATGGGTAACTGACAACAAATAGAGGCAAGACAAAGGGATACTAGAGAAGTTCCCACAAAATAATATTATCTTCATTATCCACTTTGTATTTGACCAAGCAAAAGGCGAGTGATGATAAACTCCCACAGGCTAGTATAGTGAACACTTAGTCCTAGTTAACACATCCAAACCATCGTAGAAGATCATACACACTTTGAATCACTCATTTTCTCCATGCCAAAGAGAACCAATTTCATGCAACACTCAACTATTATTCCCACTAAAGAAATGCTTTTAGATACCAGCCTACCAAAATCCAAGCTTCTTCCTTAGACCTACCATTGCATTTTCTCTAACAAGAAGATCTCGCTTCTCTTCATCTACTCAAGGTCATAAGAAATCTCTCAATATCCTCTACAATCTCCTACTACAAAAAACTTACTTATTTTACAATTTATACATTGGCTAACCCAAAATTCTTACATAATACATCCCTGTTTAAATAAAATTACAATTCTTAGAGAATGACACATTTTTAAGGAAAGATATAGAGGTAAGGCTTCACCTACTCTTTATTACCCATATAACCTAATCTAACCCCTTTCCTCCCCATTCACTCCACAAAGTAAGGTCATTTATAGTATTTTTATTAGTAAAACTTACCAAATTTAGAAGTGTTGAAATTTTTTGGAAACATCTCCTTAGACAATTGTTGGAAATTCAAAGGATATCAATTTTTATTACTAAAATGTGGACAAATTAGAATATGTATATAACAACAATCAAAGTGTTGCAATTATTAAGAAACGAAGGATGTACTTAATAATATATAGACCAATAGACCTAATTCTTTAACATTCACTAATGTCAATCTCTCATTTTTATGAGCAATTCATCATCTTTCATCTCCTCTTCTCTAATCATACTCTAGTTTATTCTGCAGACCTTCAGAAGTACGTACTAATTAGAGCTGGTGAGGTGTCGATTTTGAAAGTCTTAAGCTGATTTCTTGGGTTATGGGATGTAGTTCTTCCTTCAACCTTTGTGGGTCTTCTTCTTGGTGGTCAATTTACATGCACTTTTGTTTATGTTCCCATTACTGTGATTAAAAAAAATAATAAAGCTTGGAAACCAAAGCTTTTAAACATCCTATCCAGCCTGCCTATTTACATTTTGTCCATGTTCCAATCTTCAACTCAAGACTCTTAAATATATTTTCTCCTATCCCAATGACAACATCATATACAACCTCCGCCACTAAAACTTCATTTGACACCTAAGTTTTGGTCATTTTAGCTGGGTATTTTTCTTCAACCAATGGAAACTAAAAGTATTCTACACAGCCGGGGGGGGGGGGGGCATCTAATCTCCATACCCCGAAAGATTTGTGAAATCGCCACAGTGTGCACAACTTCAACTAAAAAAAAAGAGCCTAAAAAATAAAATCCAATAGAGGGGAGAGAGGATCAGCCATTTACAAAGTCCTTTTAAATTTTTGGACAAATTTTATTCACCCAATTTGTTATAGACATGAAAAATCAGATTTGTAGAAATGAGGAAGAAGAAAAATTGGGGGAAATTTGATAATTGGTTGCCCCTGCCAGCTAAAAGCCTTCCCTGTTTCTTGATTGGTTTAGCAGTCCAATTAAATCACCACTAAGATTACAACCTCGGATCTTTTCTTGGAAGTAAAATGAAACTCTCTCAAAAATTCTGCTTCCATTTCTCTAATTAATCTATCCTCCTCCTTCAATTGATTTTCCTTAACTAAAGTGCCCCTCCCCTTAAGGCAAGTCTTTTACACATATGTATCTCCATACTCATACCACAGTAGATTTGTTTCAAGAATACTTTATGGTGAAGTCCAAGGAATTGCACTTCAAAGACTTTCTGTCTGTCTATTTACCAATTCTCCATAAGTCATATATGTATACCTAGTTTTTTAAAAAACACAAACCCTTTAGGGACAAATTTTGCTTCTTCCCATTCACCTTCCACCTTTAAGACTTCAATGTTCAACTTCCATTCCTCATTTTAGTCCTTATATTCCTTCTACCTTCAAATTCAATCTCTCAGTTAATTATATTATGTTCACAATATTTTCTCCTCCATTTTCAACTTTGATTAAAACTGTAATGAATTCAATTGGAACCTTCACATTTTCCAATAATGAATCAATAAGTGAAAGAGGTGAGCTTAAAAATGATAGGATTTTGTACTGTTAATGATTTGTTATTAGATGAATCAATGGTACATCTAATTGTGCAGCTACATCTTAGTTTTCCTCCCTTGCCACAACCTTAATTCCTTTTTGGATATTTTATTATATAATGTGTATACCATCACTTTTTGATTTTTAAATAATTCCCAATTTCCCTAGATGTAGTGAGTGTGTCACATGAGCCAAACACCTACTTAGCTTCCAAGATCAGCACTCTAATATATGACAATGACCTGAGTTACCTGATGCTATATGGCAGTAAATGATTACTCATATCAAAACTCTGGAATGCCAATGACAAATCCTGATACAGGCATGCAGCCATAAGAATCTTGAGGTTGAAATTGTATAACTCCATCTCAACCCATGTCTAAAATCAGCTTCTAATCATGTTATGTCATTATATACCATATCATGTAAAGCATTCCTCTTCCCCAAAGCCTAAGTGAAACAAAATCCATAGCCTGTTGTAATAACCGAAGTGCACGAAATTTTAATCCTAAGGTAGCTCGGAAGAGAAATATACGTAAAAACGCTGCTAACCCAAAGAGAATTTAGGTTACATGGTTCATAATTCAGAATAGAATTGCATCTAAAGACAGTTTAAACCATGGCAAATCAACAGTGATCCTCTTTATTGCCAAGAGAGAAGTTGAATTTGTGATCATCTATTTTTTTTTCATCCGTTGTTATGCTAAGGAAACCAGACAGTAGTTCAACAAATCCTACTTTTTCTCAACATTTTAAGGCCTCTGCTGCACTTTGATGTTGAGAAGACATGGCTGGTCATTTATGCAGGAAGAAAGAAAAAAGAAGCAAGCTGTATAATAATTTTTAGCTGAAACAGTGTGCATTGTGCAGTTACAAGTCATGCTACTTTATGTAGAGAAATGATGTATTAATGTTTTGCTTGTATGAGTTAAGAAATTTGATTGCACAAGAAGAGTTTTTAGCACTCAAACCTTCCTCAAAGATGAGAGTGCAAAGATATTGATGCAATTTGAAGTGACACTTATGCGATTTTAATTGTATTTGGTTGTCTAACTTTTGTTCAATGATTATCAACTTATTTATTAAGTAAAGGAAGAGCAACAATTATGTAGATATTTAAAACATACGTTGCCAAAAACATTGGTTAGAAGACTTAAAACTAATTTCCACCTCAAGAATGCATGATTGACATGCACAGTGATGCTAATCAATCCTAATTCCAAAGTCCTAGGTCTCCTAACTCGGTCAGACAAGTAGCGCGATATCTCTTCTTCACATAATGCACTTTACATAATATCCCCATAGAATACTCATTACAGCAACAACCCAAGGCCGAACAAAATAACAATAGATGCACATACCATCACAATAAGCACAGAACATTATAATGCTCACCAGAATTCCGCCATTTCGCTACTTGGTATCTGTTTTGACAACGATTCATAGAATATCCTCAGGGGCTCTCTCTGTCAGATAGATCACATATAAATAAGTTACACCAATGTGACAAGACATATGCTATAATGAAAAATTATATCAATAATTCAATCCATTATACCTCCTCTGGAGGGTCATATTTCTGTCCTGTCAAACTGAAAACCTTCTTCTCCCTTTTCTTCTTAACAGGTGTTGCAGGTACAACTGCTTTCCCTTTCTCCTTCAAATTCAAACAATGACAAAAACAATAATCAGCTGTATTATAGTTACGAAAGCCTATGTTACTCGGACTTTTCATTTCACGTCAAGTACCCATGTCTAATCCTCCACACTCCAAAACAACAATAATCCACTTACCCACATGGATAAACAAACACCCAATAAACCAATATGTAAAACTGACAATTTATAATATAAAATTCATTAATTAATCCAATAGAAACAAAGAATCATAAAATCAGAAAATGGGTACCTCAGGTTTTGCAGTTTTTACTGGGACAGACTTATTAAACTTGGAATCAGCAACAGATTTTGAAGGTTCAATCTTTTTCTTTAAAATGGGTTTGCTTGAAGAAGATGAAGGCCCAGCTTGATTCCTGTTGATGGGCTTCATCTTCACAGAAGCACTTGCCATTGAAATCAAAAAAAATTAAATCTTTTTAATGAATTTTTTTTGTTTTTTAGAATTAAATTAAATTGAATTTTCAGACCATTCAAAATAGAGTATTGCAATGGATAGATCTGATCAAAATCAGGGTTTTTATCATGTCTAACCCCTTCTCACTTTCTCTCTCCACCTCCCCTGTCTGGTAATGGAATTTGGTAAAGAAGCAACCCAAACAAAAAAATTAAATAAAAAGATAATAAAAAATAATAAAAGGGAAAGGGTTAATTGTGAAAATGGTGAAACTTTTTCTGGGTGAAAAAAGGTAGAAGGGGCAAGAGGGCATTGAATATTGAGTGGTTAATTGTAGTTTTCTGTTCATGATATCTGCCATTTTTTCTTACGTTTCTCGGAGATTAGTGTGTCCGTATTGTAGATTCGTAGGTGATTTTTTGCATTTTGATGGGAAAGAGTATAAAGATTTAGGGTTTTTTTTTATTTTTTTAAGAAAAAAATATAGGTTTTGTAAGAATTGTAAGAATTATGGACATTCACGAGTAAATTAAAGTATAAAGATATTATTGGCATAAAAAAAACTTTTGACCAATAATTAAAGGGTAATGTTATACATAGCTCTAAGAGCTGCATATAAGCATTTAATATATTTCCTTTTTTAGTTTTAAGTTGGGAATTTATCGGCAATTCACGAGTAAATTGGTGTAATTAATATTTATTCAATGTCTGTTTTTTCCACTTTTTCCATAATTAAAATTAAAACAATTGAATATCAACAAATACGGAGGTAGTATGACTAGTATCTCAAAATGAGATGTTTTGGTTCATACCAATTACTCCATATATACTTTCGGGTGCTTGTAAAGTATGTGCACCAAGGGTGGTTTTTTTTGCTCATTTGATAACTTTTTTTTAAAAATGAGCAAAAAAAAAAAATTACATCAGCAGAAAATACCCTTATCCGAACGTATAAACTTTTTTTTAGGTTTATACGTTCTCAAAGCTATTTGATAAACTTCAACATGTACATTGATGTATAAGAAAAAGAAATATTAAGAACAATTCTTTTGTTTTTTGAATACGAGTAATAATTATGAGACAAGCTTTTTTATTTTTTTATAAGACATGTTGAATTGGTTTCCAAAAAAAAAAAAAAAAAAACATTGTTAAAATTTGTATTAATGTGTATTTTTTTCAAGACTAAAATTGCTAAAATTTTATAATTTACAAAGATTCTATTTTCATAATTTTTACAAATAAAATTTAAAGATAAAAAGCAAATTAAAATAAGAAGACTTGGTAGCAAGTCCCTCGAGTAGGGTAGAGAGAAAAGGCAGTTACTACGTGTTACTGTGGTCGAAGTTGATTATGTTGTCACAACTTCTGTTTTCTGTAGTTTGTGGATGCTAACGAATCAATTGATCAACGATGGATGAACAATTGGTGAAGGAATGGGAAAATTTAAAATTGACGGAAGAAGAAAATTTTGTTTTTTCGTAATTCTGAGGAAAACGTGGATGAGAGGGCTTCCAATCCTAGAATTGCTCTGTCCTTGGTGGGGTAAATTACTCACAAGGAAACCGTTTAATTCGAAGCGATGAAGCGTGTACTTAAGAATCTATGGCGGATCGATGATAATGTCGCGATTCGTATGATTGAGACAAACCTTTTTGTTTTCAGTTCTTCAATGAGGTTCAAATTCTATTACTGAAAGAAGTTCAGGCCAATGAGCAACCGTCCGATGTCGCAAGGATTCAGAGAACCAACTACAAATGACCCCAAGGCCATTCCTCTGGGGCCACCTGGGGCTGCCCGAAAGTTGTTATTCTCGTCCCTTCTGCGGACTCTGATCAATCCCCGAAAGCTCGTTCAATCAAACTGGTGGCTGTTCAGGATGAAACTGGTGGCTGTTGGTGTTCAAAACAACCCGGAACAACACTCTGATATGGCTCTGATCGATACGGATGTTACTAATAGAGGGGCGGATATTGTTGTTGATAAGATGTTACCTGGTAGCTTAGAGAAGGAGCCTTCGAAGGTTGCTGGTGGTGCTCGGTCTTGGAAGAGGGTTGGTCGAAACAATACGAGGGGAAATACTGAGACAGAAATGGATGTGTCAAAAGGAGCGGTTGATGATAGTATGTCAAAGAAGAGAGGTGTACACTCTGTCATAGAAAAGGAGGAGCAAATGGAGTGTGGTGAGGAAAGAAAATTAAGGTGGATCACAAAGTGGCAACTTTTATGAAACCGCAAACAAAGTAGAGGGTCTTGGTGTAGGCCAAGCCCCTGAAAAGAAATGAAAATCTTGAGTTGGAATGTCTACGGGATTGGCAACCCGTGGACTAAGAAGGCTCTCCAAGATCTTTGTTGGAGAGAGAGGCCAAACATCATCTTTATCATGGAGACGAAGATTGATGATGGTAGATTGAGGACTATAAAAAATAGATGCGGGTTTGCAGATGGTGTCTGTATTAGTAGTACGGGTAGATCGGGAGGGATGGGATTTTTGTGGAAGGATGTTAGTGTGAATGTGGTGTCTTATTCGTCTCACCATTTTGTAGTTGATGTGTTGAATGAGAACGATTGTGTCTGTTTGGAGGGCGATTGGGATATATAGATGCAATGGCCGGAACCATCGAATAAACATATGACATGGTCTCTTATGTCCACTCTAAAATCTGAATGCTCCATATTGTAACACCCCCAAATCTCCCTCTACGCAAATACTAGTATAATACGTATACTTATATCGTAGAGATAGACTTAGGCGTATTACCGCCGCTTGATTACGCAAGACTACTCAAACTTACTAACCAAAATCAATACTTTGCAGCGGAAACTTCAATACTTTCTTTATTAATAGTAATATAAATAGTAACCATAGTCATAAGTACTCATAATTGAACAAAGACCAACATTTCCTAATCTAGGTGAAGAACATTCCTGGGACTCCCATATGCATAATTCTTGACTCCACCTGAAATAAGTCAACACTGCTTACCATTACGGTAAACAGGGCAAACCAAAACAAATAGGAAATACGGATTAGCAAAATATGCTAAGTACAAGAAGTGTAAGAAAATGTAAACTCGATTTATTTGCAAACATGCTTCTAAAACTAATTCCAATAATTAATCCAATGAATTCGAAAACTCATGTTTCAAAACCAATTCTCAATAATTCAATATTTCGATGAAACGATTTATAAAACCAATTCCAATAATTCAATATTTCAATAAGCAATTCAATAAAACCAATTCCTCTTTTTAAAACCAATTCTTCACCCAAGTGTGCACATCTCCCAAGCTAGTCTCCTTATATTGCAAGTCTATTCTTGAGGAAAGACTCGGTCATACAAAGTCCAAAGTCTTATCAACCAAATCCGCATAGTGGGATTACTAATAACATGCTTGTAAAGCTTTAATAAATAATTAAATAAAATCAACCTTTATAATAGGTTAACTCAAAACTCCTTTTTATTTAATTCAACGTGCTTTCAAAATCAACCTTTTAATAAATACTTGAGAATTAAATCTCATATAAATAACTTTTCAAAATCAATAACTCTTCCTTTGAAAAACCTTTTTAAAAAAAAACTCTTTAAAACAATCCAACATACTTTTTTTTTAAAACCAAATTCCTTTAAACATAATAAATAATTTCAAACCATTCAAAACATGATATTAAATCAATCCTTTAAAAATACATTTATTAAAACAAATATTAAAATCAATACCTCCAAACATACTTTATTTCATAAATCATGATTCAAATCAATTTAATTCAATCACAAATAAAATCATATAAAACATGCTATTATTCAAACCAATCACTTTCGAAGGTATCTAGCCACCTAAACGTACCTTGATTCCGAATATCAATCAACACTTCGCACTTTCAAAGTTCAATCACGAATACACCTTGCAATTAACATAACCAGGTCATAAGGTTATCACAACATTTTTAGACATAAACCCAAATCTAATGTGCATGGACTATAAACTCTTTTAAAAATAATACTTTAATATAAAATTATAACTTTGAAATAGGTATTTATATTTTAGAAAACTAACCGTGAAGAAAATAAAGGAATATGATTAAAGAGAATTGAATTTGCGTTGGAAAGAATAGGCAGAACTTGTAGAGATCATAACTCCTTAATTTGATATAACTCTGAATTGGGTGATTCTTGAGCCTAACCTCAAGGAGTTTTTGAGAGGAACAATTTTCCGTGAAATAGCAAAACCCAAAACTTACCAACAGTGCCCGAAAATTGGCTCCAAAAATATACGGGTTGATTTTCTTTTAGAAAAGAGGAGAAGAAAAGTAAGAAAAGATTGAGGGAAAAGAAGAGTAAGAGAGAAGAAGAGAATTGAGTTTTTGGTGTGAAGAATATGAGAGGTATGAGGGGGTATTTATAGGCTAGCTCATGCAAGAATTATGGTAGGAGAATGTAGGAAGAATTATGGTAAAAAAAAAAAATTAAGGAATTACTTGGAGAAGAGAATGAAAGAAATATGGAAAGTTTTGATATTAAGGTGATAAAGAATAATAGAATTAAGGAAAGTGTGTTGCCGTGAAAAATAATATGGCAACAGGGGCGGTTCTGGGCCAACGCAAGGTGGTCGACGGAATAGGGCCCCAAATTTGAGGGGCCCCAAAATCTAGATATATGTCATTAAGTTTTGTATAATATCATGAAATTGCAGTTGGTGTAGTGGTTAGAGCAATTGCATTGTGTATACAAAGTCTTGGGCTCGAGACCTACATGATACAATTTTCTAATTTTTTTGGGAGCTGACAGCTAGCTTCGATTTCATCAATACATTGATTCATTGAATGTAGTCTGATATTTTTTCCCAAAAATTCAGATTTCTTTTTTCCCAAAAATTTTTCAATCTACTATTCTAATTCCAAAAAAACTCTATATCTTCTAAACTCTATATTTTCTTATTTACTTTCTAACATTATCTTCATTTTCTTCAATTATTCAATTAATTTTCAAAGTTTTTCATCTCCCAAAATTATTTTTCCCCATATTAGTT